AGTAGCTGCTATTCAGCGCTCGCGTGAGCCGCCTCCCTTGCATGCTGGCAGGATGACAGGACAGGTGGGCGCGAGAAATCTCAGACAAAACAGAGCGATGTGACAGCGGCAGAGTAAGCTAGAAGCAGAGGACCCGGGGAGCGGGGTTATGTGGCCATCCAGTCGCTCGTCATTGTGCAATTTTCTTCCTTTTGTTGGTATGCGCCGGCGACCTTGTCGTCTTATCCTCGAGGCATCGAAATTCTCTTGCGCAATGTAGTCAGTCAATCAGTGCCCATAGCTGACCCAAGACGGAAACGGCCGCGAGATTTCCTTACGAGCTAAGGCATATGACAGAAGCAAGCCTGCCCTCGAGGAATGGCCGGATTGCCCGAATGAGAGAATGGTATTGTGTTGCACCGTTGGTTGCGTAATGCCTGCTGCATGAGAAGAAGAAGAAAAAAAGAAGAGCGGCTGAGCACCCCTGAGCCAACAGCAGCATGCTGGTTTGTGGGGCTCCGAAGGCTGCCATGTACATTGTTTCCAGGATGGAAGACGCAAGGTGCAAGGTCCACTTCAGATGCTGCCACAGATCCAATGGACAGGGGAAGGACAGCAACAGTCGGTGCCAAGGGGAAGATATCGGGGGGGGGGGCAGGTCGAATGCAGGTCAAGGTGTGCTGAAATGCACAGGCGCCAGGGGTCGACACAGATAGGCGGGTATGCTCCAGGTTTTCCCGCTCCCTTGTGCGCAAGGAATGGGACAGTTGGTCCGAAACGAACAACGGAGGGTGATGGGTACGGATGAACATGAAGTGGTAATGTCGCGAACATCGGCCACCCTTTGCGCAATTGACGATGTCGCGATAAAAGATGTGAAGAAGAAGTACGTGGAGACACGTCGCCGGAGAGACCTGCTCGTCGTGCCTACCTTGCCTTCGTAGTGAGCAGGTTACTTCTCAGACGGCAAGTAAGCTACCTGCCTCATGGCAGTGTGTCCCGCGGTAGGTGGGCCTCCAGGCCCTGCCTTCCTCCATTCACGCGAACGAGGCGTGCCAGATCTCAACGGCTCATCAAGCTAGACGCCGATTTCTGCCCTCCCATCCTAGATATGGAGCCCAAGCCATGCAATCTTGCCAGCCACTTTGCGCCAGTCATGGCTTACAGAACCTGAAGCAGCACGTTCCGAGAGGCGTCAACCGTTCCGCCTAAATTCTCTCATCTCATCTGTTTTGCCTACACCTCCGGGGTTGCCTGGCTTGGCGACTCATTCAGGATAAACCATGTCGAGCCTCTCCAGTCATGAAGTTTTTGAGGGGGTATTGAAACCTGGCCACCACAGAGGACGGGACGGGGGAGGGGGGAGGTGGAGCTTGAAGAAGATCAGCGATCTTGTGGGAGCTGAAGATCTCCCCTGTTCCTCGCTTCCGTTCTCCGGGGATAGTGAACCTCGCGGGCAGCTCACACACACGACGCCAGCGAGCAGGCCATCAAGCCCCCCTCTTCGATGGCCAGCACGCAAGACA